AAAATCATTTTGTATAAAAGGAGATAATTCATTTACATTTCTATCTCTAGAACATACTATATGAAATGAGATTCACCTTTGCTGATGAAGTTTTAATCTGAGAGCAGAGGTTGAAAAACAAAAACTTCTAACTAAAAATAAAAAACTTTCAGTCGTTTTAGTCGTGTCCAACTCTCCATGACCCCATTTTGGGGTTTTCTTGGCAAAGATACTAGAGTAGTTTTCCCCTTTTCCTTCTCCAGCTCATTTTACAGATGAGGAAACTGAGGCAAGTAGGGTTCAGTGATTTGATTAGGGTCACACGGCTAATAAATGTCTGAGGCCAGTTTTGAACTCATGACGATGAGTCTTTCTTATTCTAAGACTAGTGCTCTATCTACCTTGCCAGTTCCTAAATTTCTCTGCTTTTTCTCAGTAGTCATGCCATTAGCAAGAAAGTTAACACTAGTTAGAAATGGACTTATAGAGGAACTGTAACTGAGCAGGAATTGGTATTCTCTAAAATATCCATGTCAAGTGATCATCCGGTCTTCTTTAGGGCCACCTTACGAGGCAGCTTGTTCTATATTTGGGGAATTGTAATTGTTAAATAGTTCTGCTGCTGCCTTTAAATCTTTTTTTTTTTAAACACTTTCCTCATTGCTCCTTGTTTGTTCAATAAACATTAAGTTCTACTATATGTATAAGGCACTGGGTTAGGTTCAGAAATGCGAAGATAAAAAAATATTTCCTTCCCTATCCCCTCAGGAGCAGGAATTGTAGCCTGAGAGAAATATTTGGGTTTGTAAGCTTATAGGGCAGTAAACAGAGCCATGGAAGAGTTCGCTGACATACTCTGTCTAGGAGAAATAGTAGATTTAATTTAATTATGTTTCCAAAATGGTAATAGTCCTAAGTATTGCACCACATGAAAGTGCCTTGTTCCAAAATAGGAAAATAGGGGTTCCTAGGGGAAGAGTGTGAGCAAGAAATACACTTGAAGCTTTAGGGAGCATAGTAATATAACCAGGGGAATAAATTGAAGTGTGACTGGAGCAGATTTTAGATGTATTGGGTGACCAAGGCTAACATCAATAAGTAGGCATTAACCAAGGCTTGGTTTCATGTCTGCACAGCAAGGCAGCCAGTGAGATGGCTGGGAAGTATTTAAAAGACTTGCCCATAGTCGTACACAGCCAATGAGTAGTAGAGGGAGGTTTTGAATGTGGATTTTACTGAATCCAAGTCCAGCACTCTTTCCACTCTGGCATATTATTTTTCATGGCTCTCTTCCTACACCTCTCAGCTTATGTGACTTGACATTTTCTAGACCAAGAACAAAGCATTCCACATCACTTTTACGAAACTGTGGTTCTTGTATCTGTAAAGTTAGGATAATGATTTTTACACTATGTACCTGACTGAGATATTGCACTGAGGAAAGTGCACTGTATCAGTTCACAGCTTTTTTGAATGGAGATTTATGTGTCTCAGTTTTATTCATTTCAGGGAAGGGAAGGGAGTGTTCTAGTTTTAAGTCATTTGTCCTTATTTGAAAATAGGATTAACTTTTAACAGAATACTTATCTCTTGTCCCCTGGATAACTAGGGTTCAGCCTAGGTTGTTATGGTACTATTTTTAAAAAATTTCTTAATTACTCTTTCTAATTTTTTTTCCTTTGTTACATTCATTTTAAAATTTTGAATTCTGTAATTCTATCTCTCTAGGCACCCCCCCCATTTAGAAGGCAAGCAATATGATACCCATTTAACATGTCAAATCATATAAAACATATCCATATTAGTTTAGGCTAATATTTCAAAAGGGATTTTCTTCTCCCTGAGTGTGTGAGCAGAGGGGAAAGGAGGAGGATGTTTGTTTATTTTGGTCCTATTTAGTTTGTGTGACATAAAGAGTCATCTAGTCATCTTTCCTAGAAATCTAATAACATCTTTATATTCAAAGTTTGTCCTAAAGACAGATTGCATTAGATGCATTCTCTAATCTAAAAAAAGATCTCGATATAATTTAATAGAATTATAAATAACATTAGCAGGGATTCTTAACTTTTTTTTGTCATGGACTCCCTTGACACTCTAGAGAAACCTGCATACTCCTTCTCAGAATAATTCTTTTAAATGCATAATACACATGAATTTACAAAGGAAGCTGATTTTATCATAATACAGTGATCAAAAAAACTTTTTTAAGTTCATGGATTCCAGCTGAAGAACTTACTCCATCTGAATATGAACCCCATTGTGATGGCCTTACAAGTACTTTGAAGTAATAAATGGTAAATACTTACTCTGGATCTATTTTTTTCCAAAAGAATGTGTTCCCTTTTCTAGGTGAGGAAGATGGAAGAGACCAGTCAAAACTTGAAACAAAAGTCTGGGAAGCGTATAATCCATTAATTGATAAACAGATTGATCAGTTCCTGGTGGTGGCACGGTATGTAAAGTTCTTGATACATGTCAGCTCATGGTGCTGTAAGAAGCTTTAAAGAACCATCGAAATTTTTAAAGCTAGAAAAGCTCTTACGTTATTTAGCTCAATTTCTTGATTTTACAAATGATGAGATGGAAGCTCAGAATGGTTAAGCTATTTGAGCAGGGTCATATAGAGGTATGATTCAAATCCAAGTCTTATGTCTAAGCACTCTTATTACTGCATCACATTGAATGTTATTTCCCAGATGACCTGGACTTCAGTGCCTTTTTGTGACTGTCAGGCACAAGGAAAAAGTCCTCAGTTTCTTAGCTACCCCCATCTCTACTCCCCTGCCCCATGGTGGAAATAGCTGTGTAGGGTCAGACAAACTGACAGCTCAGGTTTATGTGTTTTCCTATGTTCTTGGTTGTAATCTTGATGTTAATTGAGATCTAACATGCCTTTTTTAATGCTGGCTTGGGTTGGGGTCTGGCACCCAGCTAGGGAGATAATGATATAGTCCTGGCTGAGGTTCAACAGCTACTCTGTGAAATCATGCTCCAGGTTGAGGGTAATCTATATGTGTCATCTCCTTCTCTTTTCTCTGAATCTATGCTATTGCTCAGAGACATCTTGGCATTTTTCTGCCACCTGTTTTGAGGATGCATTAGGAAGGATCAGGAACTTTAATAAACTGTAATTAAGAGTGTATGTTGGAGTTAGGGGTAGCCTGTATCTCAAACCTTGCTTCTAGAGGTAGCAGCCTCTTTATAAGGCATTGTGTAATTGTCACTAAAGCATTCTTGTCTGTGTTATCATGATGTCATTTTGGTTTTCTTTGAGCATGAAGGACAAACAACATCTTTTCTCTCTAGGCTCTTTCTTTGATTTTACTGATATGGCTCTAGTGGAAGACCCTTATGCCAAATTGAGGGCATTCTTTTTATTTTTGTTGTTTGTTTTATTGATACTTTTGTTTTATATAAATTAATTTTCTTCATATTTTCTCCTCCATTGAAACACAGTTAAACAAAACTGTTCTGAGCACAAACCATCTCAGTGACTGTATCTGACAGCTATTTTGCAGCATTTCTCATCTGTAGTCTTTCTCTGTTGAGAAGAGGGAAGCTTGTTTCATCATCTGTTCTTTAGGGTCAAGATTGCCCGTTCTAGCTGATTAGAGTTCAGTTGCCTAGTTGTTTTAACATTTCATTGTGTTGTGGACATTGTGTGTGTTGCTCTGCTAAAAATTTGGCATTGGTTCATATAGGTCTTCCTCTACTTCATAGTGCTCCTCATTCATTCCTTCTTATGCCATAGTAATATTCCATTTCTTTTATGTAACAAAACCGTATCATTGTATGAATAGCTGCAGAAAAAACTTCCAGCAGAATATAATAAATCTAAGGTATTTCTTTAATGTGAACAAAGTATATATTTAAAACCAAGAACTAGTATTGTTCGCCATGGAAACCTGGAACCTTTTCCAATAAGTATAGGGTTGTCTACTTTTTCCACTATTGTTTGATATAATTCTGGAAACGTTAGCTGTGTCAACAAGATGAAATAAAAATTAGAGGTATATACATAAGCAAGAGGAGAAAATTATTATCCTTAGTTTCTAATATCATTATGTTTGACTTCAGAAGATCATAGATCTAGAGCTGGAAAGGACCTGAAAGGCTTTCTGTTCTATCTTTTCATGTTATAGATGAGAAAACTGAGGCTCAGGGAGATTAAGTGACACGGGCACAAACACATGTAAAAATTGGCCAGGATTTGATCTTACTGCTCCCTTACTGCTAGTCCTTAAACCTTCCTGTGCTCAGCAGAGAAACTAACAGAGACAATTAATAGTTTCTGTGAAGTACTAACCACTTTTTTAAAAGCTTTATCCCATACCAAGATTTGAGTTTGTATCTTAGCTTCCCAGTTCTTCATTATATTGAGCTCTTCAGTGTACACCTGGGTCTCATAAACCTCTTCATCTTCCATTACCTATAACTTTAATCTTTAGCCACCCTCAAGTAAAACAGTACAGCGTCCATGATGTGGAGCTCTGAAATTTCTTTTTATGACCAAACTCCTCTTTTCCATCTCTTGCCACTGTCTCAGTCCTCTTAAGCCTATATAAAATACCTAAGTTGACAAAAAGGTAGAGTTAAGAAACTACATTTATTATAAGACATAAGGCCACTAATGAACTACTAGGCCTTCTTTTCTCCACAAGACTCAAATGCCACTTCATTACCCATTATTCAAGTGTCCTCTTGCTACTTTATTGACCAAATTGAAGCCATCATTTGAGCCTCCCTATATCCCTTGATACATACTTAAAAACTTCTATAAAATCTCACCACCCTTTTCTCCTTCTTAGTTTCTGAGAAAGAGGTAGAACTTCCTTCCTCCTGTCCTCTCTCCCTTCCATCCTTTCCTTCCTCTCTCCCACCACCTTTACCTCTAGTCCCTTCTGTCTTTTCTGAGAGCTGGTCTCATATATCCTCTCCATGCTCCAGGCTTTAATGATAGCAAATTTCCCCTATCACTCCTTTATTACTGCCTTACAGTCTTTATAAAACTTTTCTCTTCACTCTGCCATCCTCTCAGGACCAGCAAGTATATTGATAGGATTAGACTGTATTGTATGTGTTGGAATTTAGAATGTCAGAAGATTGGAAACTTAAGAAGGGGCCGGGTTGTGAAGTGCTTTAAATATCATATGAGAGTTGTAGATGACACTTAGGTTTCAAACGTAGTTGACTAGAATGATGATAGTGCCCTTAAAAGTAATAGAGAGGTTCAGAAGAATGGAGGATATGTGAAGAAAATAATATTCTGTTGGACATGTGGGGTTTAAGATGCCAGTTTGAAATGTCTAACTATCTGTTGGTGAGGCAGGCTCTCATCACCTCACCTATATTATTGCAGCAGTCTCCTAATTGGTATCTCACCATGCCAGTCTATCCTTCACTCTCCTAAAATGGTTTTCTTTAACTTAAGCATTTTTCCCAACTTGGTAAATGTGAAAGAATCTTAGTACCTCTGGAATAAAATATAAATTCTTCTACTTAAAGCTCTTCATAATCGTACCCCAGCCTACTGTTCAAGTGTCATTTTATATTACTTCTTCTCTTGCA